AGGCCATCAGTAGGCACCAAAGACACAGCTCACAAATGAGAAAACACTTTGGACCAAATGCAAGCGACCCCCTAACCAAGCCCTACATATGCAAACNGTAGGCACCAAAGACACAGCTCACAAATGAGAAAACACTTTGGACCAAATGCAAGCGACCCCCTAACCAAGCCCTACATATGAGAGGAGGGTCTCCCACTCATATCTTATGATTACAGGGCTGGGCTTCATCCCTGTTAAAACCATATATGTGGCAACCATTTCTTTCCTCCTGGCTCTGCCACTTGCTGGGATGTGACGTGAGCCAGTTGTCACTGGATGATGCTATCTGCTTGCTGGCTCACTAGTTCTGGCAGTGGACGTGACAGGTGTGGCCTGTGGTGTCAGGGCACCACTAGAAGTGTATGTCTTGTCACTCTGCCAGCCTCCCCTGGCTAGAATGCTACCAACCAGATTTCCCAAATTTCCAAGGCCTAGTCAATTGCCTGGTCACTACAAATGCCCCCAGACTCACATGGCAAAGAGGAGCCTTGTTCTCAGAGCCCCACAGCCTCTTTTCCTACTCTGCCAGAGCCAGGGTCTTTTTCACTAACTGTGATTATTATTAGTATTGCTAAAATAACCACAGTACATATCTTGTTCATACACTAAGGGTTTTGCCAGGGTAGATACTGAGATTTACTTCTGTTATCTCCATCACCAGCCCTGGGCCTGGCATGTAGGAGGAGCTCAAGAAATGAACACATCATTAACTCCCTGCCTCCAAAGGGAAGAAATGTCTGGACAAGAGACTCAGCAGTGTGAGGAAGGCACCTGAGGCAATAAAACAAAACAAATATATTGCTAATAAAAAGTAAATAATAATAAAACTCAGTGGTGGTGATGGTCTGGCAAACACACTTTCCTACACTGCTGATCAAGGCACAAATGGTACACCCTTTCCAGGGCTGATGTGGCAACATCTACTCATATTGTTGGCAAAATCAGGGCACCAGCCGCGCTATCAGAGGACCTCGGCAGGAGGCACACAGGAAAACCTCTAGCCCGAGAGAAGATCCGAGTTCCTACAAAGCCATACACCAGCCATGGGATTAAAAGCGAGTCCCTGAACGTCTCCAATCTTCATCTTCCTCATGCACAGTGATGGGGACAAGCAGGTCATCCTCCCTAGGACCCTGCTCAGCTGGCATGAGAAGGGAGTCCAAGGTCTTCAGAATTTCCTGTTAGTTTAGGGCTGACTCGAGTGAGTACAAAGGTGCCCAAGTTTCTAAGAGCCTTCATTCTGGAAGATCTATTCCTCAGACTCTTCAGAAGAGACAATAATGGAAGCCTCAGGCCTCCCTCCCTTAGCTGACCACCTTCCTTTACAGTTCAGAGCATGAAGAACTCGTTTCATCCACCACAGAAGCATTGGAGACCACCTGGCTGCATGTGATGACCAGGGGCCACCAGGCACTGCAGAGGTGAGAACAGCATCATTCATTGTCTTCCGCCTGTCAGGTTGCTGGGAATAGTGGGAGGCTCTGCTAATGGGACGTTGGAAACCCCCAATAATTACCCAAATGATGGAAAATCAGATCTACTCTAACTAAAATCAACCAAGTTCCTTAGTCTTTCCTAAATAAAAACGTTAAGTGCATAACAACTAAAGACGTCTTCAACATATTCACAAGGACTTTCATGGTGGGTGTACTTTACAATATTGTTACTGACCAGGTACTGCAACAGGTGACACCTAAGAGGATATAACAGCATGAAACCTGTGTAATCTTCCTTTCTTCCCATCCCAACCACACCAAGATGTCACAGAAACCCATCCTAAGACAGACTCCATTGGTAATGAGGTCAGGTTTGGCACTACCTCCTCGACTAGTGCCCTTGGCTTCTCAGGTGTCTGAACGTTCCTCTGAGCATGCACCTACTCAGGAGACTCGCCCAGATGCTATGGGGTAGCAGGTCCTTTCCAGGGTCCTCCTTACTCCTTACTCTGGATCTCTACGACCGCACACAGCAGAACACAGTCCCACAGAGGCTGTTAGGTGGTGTGTCACACAGCATTCACACACGCACGCTGGTCCCTGCTTAGACTGGCCAATTCTTTCGTGCAGAACCTGTCAATCTTATTCTGTCAACACGACTGTGAATCTTCCAGAGGGGTGTTAAATTCCCTAAACTCATTTATCTTTTGCAAAGCATCACATTCCAGGCCTACTGTCTGACAGGCTATCCTTTGAGAATCCTAGGTAAGTCCCTGACCTCTGAGCTCTGTTTTAGAAACTACACTGAACAATACGACCCGTCCTCTCTCATAGCTTCCATCACAATAAGAACTGACCCAAAGATCCCCAAGTCCTTTGCTAACTGATGCTAAGCACCCAGTCCTTTTATTTTTTTATATTTATTTTTATTGTTAAAAGTGTTACACATGTTCCCCTTTTTCTCTCCCATTGGGACCCAGTGCTTTTTAAAAATTTTTTAAAATATTATCTTTATTGATTTCAGAGAGAGGAAAGGAGAGGGAGAGAGATAGAAACATCAATGATGAGAGTCACTGAATGAGCCCACAACCCGGGCATGTGCCCTGACCGGGAATCAAACCCCGATCACCTGGATCCTAGGTCGACGCTCAACCGCAGAGCCACGCCCGGCCGGGCGGTACCCAGTGCTTTTAAACCCAATCAGATGTTTGTTGGAAACAAACCAAAGAAGTACCCACAGTGCACTGCCCAATCCACAGACAGCTACACGAGCCCAGGACTCACATAAACTCCCTCCCTCTTCCAGCCCCACCCCAGACCAGGGCAACAAAGAGTAAGTCAGGGGTCATAAGATAAACACACGTGGTTTTAAAGCTCTTAGGAAACGGAGCAGGTCCAGCTCTCTGCTCTCCCATTCCTTCCGCCTCCACTCTTTACTAGGGCCCCTCACTTCAGCCCTGAACACAGTCTACCCTCTCACCTTCATCCCTGCCTCACTTCACTCTGGGCCAGCAGGACACGGGGCCGATGTAGAATGAAATCCACCTGTTAATTCCTTGACCCATCAGGCTGGTGAGAGCCTGGCCTCTGAAACTGGAGCTGCCATGTAAGACAGAGGCTGCCATAGACCTGAGGCAGGGGCTAAACAAAGGTCTGAGCCGCCTGGTCCCCGCCTGGTGAATCTCCTCCATTCCAACAACTCGGTGTGAGTGTGTCGGTTCAAGTAACTTTTGGTGCCTCAGTTTCCCCTAATTGTCACACCAGAGAGGCTATTTTTACATTTTTTATAAGAATGTACTCATGAATTACTTGTGAAGTTAAAAATGAACACAACCAAAGGGCAACACTATACTGTGTTATGCTATAAAACTGGTCTAAGCCTTAATAAATATGCAATCACAGGAAAGTACGTTTATCACGCTGAGGGAGTAATAGCTACAAAGACTACAAGAGGATGTCACCGAGTACGAGGTCCTGTGAAGAAAGGGACAGTTTCTTTCTTTTTCCAAGGTGTAATCTGTTCTTGTAGACTGAGATATACAGGGAATAAGAAATGCTCATTGTATGCCGACGGGAACACGGCTGTCCCCAGCTGTGAGGGCTTTAGGCAAACAGTGGTCCCCGCACGGGGCTACAATCCCCCGTTTCACTTCCCAACCCTCGTTTCCCATGTGTACAGTGAGAGGCGGGCAGATCGGGGCAGGAGCTCCTTTATTTCTCATACTTGAAGATCTTGTATCTAGCAGGGTTACAACGGGACAGATTAAGGGCCATATTCCATGGAGTACAGAGTCAGAAGGTGGGCTTGGAGGGCGGGGGTGGGAAGGACATCTATGTCATTCATGAAAATAAAGGAAACCTCAAGCCTCATGTTATGATTTAAAAGGAAATCAATCATGACCAGTTTATGTTTAACTGTTTATGTTTAACTTATTGTGGCCATAGCTTGGCTATGTTTTACATACAAACTATCTTCTACAGATGAAAAGATGGAGTGGCTATCTTCAAAGAAATCTTCACGCTCCAAAAAATGATGTGCTTTTTGTTGTGTGGTTTTCAATGAAATCTTGCTGCAACACAGATTATAGCACCTTAACAAAAACCTGTGAGCTAGAACAACAGAGGGAAGCACCAGCTTACAGATCTCAAGAAATCAGCTGAGCTCTGTTTACCGCCCATGGTTCTCTGGTTCTATAATATTTAATAAAATCACTTACTATTCCACATCCTCATTTGTTTTATAGTAACTAAAATCTGGCAGCTCTAATGGCTAAGGAAAATAGATTTACAATAAGAAATATTATCTATTCTTGTATAATATGAATTTAAGTGGAAACAGCTTGAAGTAGGATTATTTCTTTCAGAACAAATCACTCCACTCTCCAACACACCACTCTACAATAGAAAAACACAATATGTATTACAACCATACATTCACTATTTCCAAAAAAGAGGTAACTTGGGCTCTGCCAGGTCTAATGAACAGAAATGGATTTGGCTCCTGGACAACTCCAACAGTCCATTAGGGTAACGCTGAAGGCAGTTTGGGAATTAGTGGACAGGAACACACACTTGTTTACCCGAAAAACGAAAACACAGCAGCTTCTACACTGACAGTCGCTGGACCAGAGGAGCCTTGGAAAATCTCCAGTGACAACTTGTCTCCCATTGTTTTTTATTCCTAAATGGAAATGGTATATAACAGCTTACATGGAAGAAAGAAAATCAGGAAATGAGTAGCCGGATTCTTTTGGATTCTAAAACCAGAGATAATTTTGAAAGGAATGAAATGGGTTTGAAATGTCCCTAATACCCAGAGGGCAATAACCAGTGCCAGCTTATTCTTTGGCACAGAGGCAAGAAAGCCAAACCGGCAACGCAGCAGGAGAGTCAGAACACCGCACCCTCCACATTCCACAGGCGGGCGTGAAGCTAAGTCGGCCCAGCCCAGCAATGGGCAGCAATCACCGGAGCGTGGGGGCGGCATGTGGCTGGGGCCCTGCACCCTGGCACACGCCCTCTTACCTCTAACATGGGTCTGGCACTGTCATGGACGGATAGGATATGGGTCACCTTGTTCCTGCTCAACTGCTCTGCATCTCTGGCATCTGTCAGAGAAAGAGGACAGACGTGTCAATACTCCGCAAGCGACTCCTCCTGAAGTCGAGCCAGAAACCCCACAGAATGACCTACATGTTTCTTCCTTGAAACTTCATAACTGACCATGCCCAGGATAGTCTAGCTCTAGGGAATTCAGGGCTATCTCTTCCATGTGTTTCGCAGTTAACGTAGCTCCTTTCTGACAGGTACATCTTTTGATGCACAGCCGTGGTCTAAAACTTGAAAGGTACTTAGATTTATAAACAATGTAATGATTACTGCTGTTTAAAGGAAGTGAACCTATGAATCATTTTGTAGTTGGCATTTGTTAAATTGTAGACACAATAAAACACACAACACTAAAGTCATTTAAAATATATTAAAAATTGCTTCTTAATGATTAATAATTCAAGTTAAAATTAAGCATAAAAGACCCACTTACTGTGTAAGAAATAGGAACCTGCCAGAAATGACTCTACCCTGATGTCAAAAGCAGGGATGGGTCTGGAAATGCAAGCAAGACTATGGTTTACACAAATTCACTTTGGGCAAAAGTAAAAATGGAGCATTTTCTAAAAATGCCAAACAGAACTGCCCATAAGTTATGAGTCAGCTATTAAATTATCTGCATATGAAACTAAGGAGACACCCAGTTACATTCCTTTCCCACATGCCCACGTGCAGAGGGAAGGCTGAATAAATCTCCCCACGGTGGAACCCATCTCTGATCTACAAAACAGGGTCCAGTGAGAAACACGGCGTCACGTGGCCTGTCCCGGCCTGGGCTGAGCTTTTTAAAATGATAGAGGGTAAAACAGACCAAAGGTCAACTGCTTAATTTTCATGTTTCTGGAGAACATTTAATGACATGGGAAAATGCTCAGGATATAATGTTACGCAGATGGTAAAACAGGTACAAAACAATAGATACAATTTGTAAAAATACATAAAGAGACACACACTGGGATAAAACTGCTCTAAGGAATTAGCCCCAGACGTGATCATCTTTAAGAGAGGAAATTACAAGTGTTTTCAATTTTTTTATTTTTTATACATTTTTGTGTATATTCAACATAAGTGGTTCTAAAAGTTTAACATGCTTATTAACTATCTGGGGGACTTGTTAAAAAGGCAGATTCCTGGCTGCAACTTAGGTCAAGGCCTATGACAAGGCCGAGGAATGTGCATTTATTTTATTTTCTTTTTAATCCTCACCCAAGGATATTTTTATCAGTGCTTTTCAGAGAGTGGAAGGGA